GTGGCCCCAGAGCCCCTGGATCCTCCACTCTGCCCCTGGGGGCCCCTTAGCTGCAGGCAGTGGTAGGTTGTCTCTCTTACTCCAGTATTCAGTCAAAGTTGTCATTTTTTAAATCCCCATTTTAGAATTTTTTAAAAATTGAGGCTCAGACCGATTGAGCATCTTGCCAGAGGAATGAACTCAGGTTTGTCTGCCACACGGCGCTCAGAGACTGAGAATGTGCCCATGCAACTCTGGGGCTGCCCTTCTTGGGCTGAAAGGTTAAAGGTCATGTGTGCACACCAGGGCCACCTGTGTGGAAAAAGCTGTGCCTTGCCAGGAGATTGAGTTGGCAAGAATAAAATCACAGTGGGCTGTCTTTAAATCGTCTCATTGTCCTATATATGTAAAGTGGAGGGCGATGAACTCAGTGTGACTGAGTGCATGCCTGCTGACAGGGCAGTCTGCTTGCTTGTATTGAGGTACCTGGGGAGGCTGAGCTCACTGCCTGGCTAACCCAGACCACTTGCCTACTGCGAAGGAGGCAGAGGCATGGTGGGCTGGCTCTGCATGACCAAGGGCCCTTGAACCAGAAGGCATCCCTGCAGAACACCCAGGAAGCCTTCCCCAGACATTCGTTCTGCGTCACGTCCCTCACCAAGTTCCTTTCATCTACTGGCCAACTGCAGGATGCTCTACAGGTAGAGAGCTGCTGCTCCCCACCCTCCGGTCCCTGTTTGCTTTTGTGGCCTGGTCCACAGCCCCCTGGGGCTTTGTAACCTCATGCTGCCCCTCTGCACAGACTGGCCCACCCTGCCCAGCACCTTGAGGCGGGGACCCCAGGGCCCACCGTCATCCTCATTTTTGTGGCCTGAGGTCTGAGCTTGGTCCCTGACACACAGAGCACAAGATAGAAGGCAGGAGGAATTGTCGTAAGAAAGAAAAATCACACACAAAAAAAAAGAAGAATCGCTGTTATGGGCTTATTGAGAATAAGATTCTTTTACCCAAGCCTGACCTTTCACATATATAATAAACACAGGTAAATCATGGATGTTCTTGACAGTTGTCTTCTCACATGTACACAGTATTCACCCTTGAATGTGCTGTTCGTTGTCCCTGTTTTGACTCCTGAAAGGATTAATACATAATCCCAGTCTTTGCCCCCACAGTGTATGTGTTGTGTCCATGAGCATGCTGGCCAGGTGATGGGAGTGTGAGCTTTTGGAATGAGACCCTAGACTTTGGTCAGTGCCTTAAGGAGATAGCAGCCCCTCCCAGGGAATGTTCAAAAGGGCTTTAACAAGAAAGAACACTTCGAGAACTCGAGAAGGTGGGGCTTCTTTGAATAGGAACATATCGACAGACACAGTGCAATTCAGTCATCGATAAGTGTTGAACACCTGATAAATGTACTTTGTGTGTACATTTACTACTTACTACTGTGTACTTTGGGGTACAAAGGACATGCCCCAGCCCCTGTCTGCTAGGTCTTTGCAGCCTGTTTGGGAAGAAGGGGACACATAAAAATGTTGGCAAGAATGCAAAGCATCATACATTTGGTACCAAGAATAGAGAAAAAATTCTAGGAGTTGAGGAAAAAGATCTTTCTGCTGGTTAAGGAGGGCACATGGTTAGCCACAGTGATTTTTCTAGTTGAGCAGAAGAGAGCTTACAGAAACAGGAGATAAACAGAAATAGGAATAGTTATTATAAAGATCATAACGATATCCCGTATAGAGTCACCAGGCTCCGCTAACACCCAGGGAGTGTGACTCCATGCCAGAGCTCAGAATCACTTCCGGAAGACAAAGGCTGCCTGGTCTTAGAATGCAGCACCCCATCCTCCCCGCTCCCCTGTGAACTGTTAACTTTTACTGATCTCAAAAAGACACCTGAAGTAGATTTTTGCAAACACATTCTCCTTGCTATGAATGTTACTATGATGCTCATTGCCATTTTTCAATATAAAAAATACAAAGAAGAAAATAAAATTCCCTATAATCTTACCACCCTGAGATAGTGAGCGGACATTTCATGCATTTCCTTCCAGGTTTTTCATAGTGGTAAATGCCGGGTATTGGGACATGAGCTCCACTGTTGATGCAGCATAATCAGTCTTAAATATACCTATTTTTATTTTTTTAAATATTTTTTAATAAACTTATTTTTTATTGGTGTTCAATTTGCCAATGTACAGAATAACACCCAGTGCTCATCCCGTCAAGTGCCCACCTCAGTGCCTGCCACCCAGTCACCCCCAACCCCACCTTCCTCCGCTTCCACCACCTCTAGTTCGTTTCCCAGAGTTAGAGTCTTCCATGTTCTGTCTCCCTTTCTGTTATTTCCCACTTATTTTTTCTCCTTTCGCCTTTATTCCCTTGCACTATGTTTTATATTCCCCAAATGAATGAGATCATATACTGTTTGTCCTTCTCCAATTGACTTATTTCACTCAGCATAATACCCTCCAGTTCCATCCACGTTGAAGCAAATGGTGGGTATTTGTCGTTTCTAATGGCTGAGTAATATTCCGTTGTATACATAAACCACATCTTCTTTATCCATTCATCTTTCGATGGACACCAAGGCTCCTTCCACAGTTTGGCTACTGTGGACATTGCTGCTAGAAACATCGGGGTGCAGGTGTCCCGGCGTTTCATTGCATCTGAATCTTTGGGGTAAATCCCCAACAGTGCAATTGCTGGGTCGTAGGGCAGGTCTATTTTTAACTCTTTGAGGAACCTCCACACAGTTTTCCAGAGTGGCTGCACCAGTTCACATTCCCACCAACAGTGTAAGAGGGTTCCCTTTTCTCCGCATCCTCTCCAACATTTGTGGTTTCCTGCCTTGTTAATTTTCCCCATTCTCACTGGTGTGAGGTGGTATCTCATTGTGGTTTTGATTTGTATTTCCATGATGGCCAGTGATGCGGAACATTTTCTCATGTGCTTGTTGGCCATGTCTATGTCTTCCTCTGTGAGATTTCTCACCACCATAATAAATACAAGGAAAATATATGTCAATCCAAGTTATCTACTGCTCCATTGTGAGGATTCCATTTTATCTCTTTTTGTTGGCTTGTTAAATATAGCTACTTTTAAATGAGATGAATTCAACCCCCTTTTGTTGGAAGAGGATTGTGTCAGAACCTGGATTTCCCTTTACTGTTCTGAGAGCAGAGCAGATGCACAGAACGATGAGGCACACTCCAGGAAGCGAGTCCTGTTCAGAAGGCAGCATAGCCCCAGCTGAACACAAGGCTGATCTGTGTCTCTTACCAAAGCCATGAGTGTGGCGCCCTGAGATCTGCCCCTGCCCCTCCTAGAGAGAGATGCTGGGGCTCTGGGGGGCAGTGCCTCAGTCAGGGCCCTATAGTGACCTCACACAGAGCGTGTGTCCTCTCCTCCATGGCTTGTAGGCACCGGCGTCTTAGCACACTCTTGCCCAGGTGTAGAAGATGCCTTCCAGATGGTCAGTCTGCTGTTTCGTGTTGGTCAGTCTTGGCTTCAATCACAAGAACACTGGGGTGATTAAAGTATTGAGCTGAAAACCTTGATCTTGCTGAATTAAGGACAGCTGACTTGTTTCAAATAGAACACAAAGCAGAGAAGAATCTGGGTGGAATGACCAGTCCAGGGCCAGCAGTAGGACAAAAGTACTAGATTTTCATTACATTTCATAAGGAAATGCACACGTTTGCAGCTTGGTGTTTTGTTTACCATATATATATGTATCTCTGTGCCATTAACAGAAGTGACTTCCTCTTCTGAAAACCTAGTACATTTTGATACTATGTATTAAATGATATTTGTCAAGTATCCCCATTTTACAGATGGGGAGTTGAGGTTTAGTACTGGGGAGTGGCTTGGCTGGGATCAGGTACCAGCTCTCTGAGCTCAGAGCCTGCAGTCTTTGTTCTTGCTGGGTTTTGCATTTAGCTTCTGTCTTTATTACAGGGAGTTCATGTGGCCCTTCTGGTGGCCTCCAGTACAAGTGCTTACTGTATGCTAGTGCATCATGATCTCTTCAGAGGTCAGAGGCCGCTCCTTTGGCCAAGTCTCCATTTCACCCACTTCTTTCAAAGTGCAAGGCAATGTGGTACAGGCACAGATTCCTGGAAAAACAAGTTTCCTTAAGAATCTCCTCAGGAAAACCCAGAGAGTTCTTTCGGTGCTTCCCCAACTCCTTTACATTTAGGCACCTCCACAGAATCCTAAATATTGAAGCCATTCCGATTTTTCTTCCAGGTTTCTCTTGAATTGTTTTAATTGTGTTTGTCCTGTGGACTGTTGGAAAGCGTCTATATTTTTAGGCCCTAATCTTGTAGAGAAAGGGCAGAGACTCTCAAATTTTTCCGTATGGGAGACTCCCAAGTGCTTATTGCTGGGGGGCGCCAGGCGTCCAACTCTTGGTTTTGACTCAGATCACGATCTCAGGCTCATGGGATTGAGCCCTCCTGCATCAATTGAGCCCAGCTCAGCGCTCAGCAGGGAATCTGCTTGAGATTCTCTCTCGATCTCTCTTTCTCTCTCTCTCTCTCTCTCTCTCTCTCTCTCTCTCTCTCTCTCTCTCTCCCCCTCCCCCCCTCCCCCTCTCCCCCACTCCCTCTCTCCCTCTCCCCCTCCCTCCCTCCCTTTGCCCCTCCCCATGTTTGTGGGCTCTATCTCTCTAAAATAAGTTAATTAAAAAAAAAATTTAACCACCCACCTGACCCCTCCCCCAGTTTCTGATTCATCCAGTCCTGGTTGGGGCCAGAGAATTTGCATTTCTGGCATGTTCTCAGGAATGCTGCTGCCAGGGAGGGCAGTGGGGTGGGGGTGGGGGACAGTTGGAGAACCACCTCTCCAGGGTTTCTAGCAGGATCCCCATGCCTGCCTTTGCATGCCCCCCACCCCCTATATCTTGTACCACGTTAGCACGAGGCACCAGGTGAAATCTGTCGCTTGGCTTCCCAAAGTTAGGCAATGGTGTAATTTGGTCTTTGGGAGCTCACTCATGTGGGGGACCTGATGTTTCAGGTGGTGAGAGCTGCCGAAGAGGCGGCATCCACACTGGCCAGCTCCATCCACCCAGAGCAGTGCATCAAAGTCCTCTGCCCCATCATCCAGACCGCCGACTACCCCATCAACCTCGCTGCCATCAAGATGCAGACCAAAGTCGTTGAGAGGATCGCCAAGGAGTCCTTGCTACAGCTCCTTGCCGACATCATCCCGGGCTTGCTACAGGTGGGCCCTCCTGGTGGCTGGCCGGCTCCTGTCTGCTCAGGGCTGTGAGGTCCGGAGCAGGCACTGCCCCCCAGCCCCCCAGGGACATGGGGGCTGTGTGCTCCTCCTTCACTCAAGGGGCAGGGAGGAAAAGGCAGGCGCTGACCTGTGCTTTAGAGGCCGTGCAGCTGTGTGGCTTGGACACCTTGCACGTCTCTTGTTTTCTAATGCACCCTCCCCTGAATGTAGCTGAAAGATCTTCCTGGCAGATTAGAACTGTGGCTCTAGGAGTTGTTTTACTATAAATATATTTTGGTTATTTTTGTTGTTGTTCATTTCTTTAGCAAAACCCTACTGTACATCCGTGGGCCGCAGCCCTGGGCAACGTGGGCCATGGATCAGATAATGGTCCTTACTCTCCTATCTAGCAAACACTTACCGAAAGCCTTCTAAGTGTGAGGCATTGAGTTAGACTCTGGAAGAGAAAAGATGTTCTGCAGTGCTGCAGCACCACCCCGAGGGTGTTTGAGCATGCGTGGGACACAGTACAGCTATGCAGGTGGCTCTAGAAGGTGGTACCAGGTGCCGGGTTACTGTAGGTTCATGTGGAGGTTTCTGAGATCAGGCGCGAGGGGTGATGTCTGGGCTGGGGTGGCAGAGAGAGAAGGGCTCACAGAAGAGCTGGTTTGTTTGTTTGTTTATTTATTTATTTTTTGAAGAGCTGGTTTAGAGTCAGACCCTGGAGGGAGAGTGCGGTTTCAATGCAGAAGGTAGAGAGAAATCAGCTTCATGATTTAATAAATGCTGTTGCTTGCTGAACACTCGAGTTGGGAATTTACATATAGACAGAAAATTCCTCAGGCCTGCTTGGAGAACAGCAGGTAGTCCCCATTTGAGTGTGAGTCAGAGGCCAGGCTGACAGTAGATCGAGGCCCAGTTGTAGAGGATGGACGTCCCCAGCCATCTTTGGGTGGCACAGAGGTTCTGCCCACCTGAGCGAGGGATGCAGTTCTTATTTCTTAAAAGGGATTTTCACACAAGATTTGCTTTAGCCAGGAGGTGGAGAAGGGGCCTGGGTGGCTCAGTCCGTTAAGTGTCTGCCTTCAGCTCAGGTCATGATCTCAGGTCCTGGGATCGAGCCCCTTGGTCGGGGCTGGACCCCTGCTCAGCAGGGAGCCTGCTTCTCCCTCTCCCTCCACTCCTCCCTACCCTGCTTGTGCTCTCTCTCTTTCAAAAAAATAAATGAAATTTAGGGGGAAAAAAAGATTTATATTACCCATTGGGAGAAATGTGAAAGAAGCAAGCTATGTTTCCTCCTTGCTTTCCTTTCCCATTCTCTCTCTGGCATGGGTTTTGGGTGGTGCTGCTGTGGCAGCTCATGTTAAGCAGCACCAGGAGACCACGGTGCCACTTGTCAGCCTCTGCTTCCAACCCCAGGAACCAGCTCACTCTCGACTCTATTAAGTTTTGACCTCTGTGGGGCGAGAGCTCTCTCTGGGTTCCATGGCAAATCTCATGTATGTCGTGGTTATTATATTAGCAACAACGAGTCCAAGGTTGAACTATGAGGGTATTTGTGGAAATGTTGATGAGACATTGCCTGTCAAGCGGATCTTTGATCTCATTTCCTTTCTGTGTCCCCTCTGACTTTGTAGGGTTATGACAACACCGAAAGTAGTGTGCGTAAGGCCAGCGTGTTTTGCTTAGTGGCAATTTATTCCGTAATTGGAGAAGAGCTGAAACCTCACCTTGCCCAGCTCACAGGGAGCAAGGTATGTATAGTGTTACATGGGCCGAGAGCACACCTGGGCTCTGCCAGCCGTCATGAACCTGCTTGTTTGCAGCTCTGGCCACCAGACATCCTGGGTCCCTTGTGGGCGTCAACAGTCATGACAGCAGGCTCTCGCCCTGTGCTTGCTAAGTGTCTGGATACTGTTGTCTGCACTTCGCATGTGTTGGTGCATTCATTCACGACAACATCTCTGTGGGACGAGGACAGTTATCCTGCATTTAATTGCCCAAGGGCACACAGAGCTCTTGCTCCAGCAACCAGGCTCTTCCCTCACTCTGTTGCCTCTCATGTTCTTTCAGAGTTTTCTACAATCAGGGGCAGGATGTGGAACACAAGACCTTTTGGCTCATTGCAGCTGAGAATGTCTAGAGTGCTTATTGGTTTAAAAATAAACTGAAAATCTGAAGAGCCTGCCAGGTGAGAGCAGATGGTACCCCGAACTCTGGCAGGAGAGGCAAGGGCAGGAGTAGCAGCTTGACTCCTGGGCCTTGCCGGCCTCAGCCTCCGGCCTTGTGGCAAGGCTGCTCCAGGGACTGCAGGGGAGGAAAGTATGTCAACATGGAGTTCATTCCAAACAGAGCTGTTTCTTTTGCTTAGCTGGTGAGCATCACAGCCAGAGCCTTGCTTCCCCGGAGTTCTGGCACAGACAGCTTGCCTGCCTCTTTCCAAACAGGACTTACCCCTCAGCACTACTGACATCTCGGGCCACTTTGTTATTGGGGCTGCCCTGGGCGTTGCAGGAAGATGAGCAGCACTCCTGCCTGCCAGCTGCAGATTCCCGTAGCACCCTAGCCGGCAGTTATGGTAGTCCTCATAAAGTCTCCATGTGGCCACATGACCTGGTGGGGACAGAATCACCACCCCTGCTGGAGAACTGCTGACCCAGAAGGAGACACTTGACTCTTCCTGCAGGCAGAAATATGCAGCTAGGTCAGAAGGTGTGAGTGAGGCAGGTGCGCATAAATGATCTGGGAGCTTCCTTGATTCCATTTCTTTCTTTCTCCTTTCTTTTCCTCCTATAAAAAGGCTCCTCACTGATCCCTACCCTAGCCATGATCTGAAAAATACCAGCCGTGAGGGACTAGAAGACAGTATTCACAAAGAGAATTTGATTTTTAAAACTCATCCCCAAATAATATCAGACCCCAGTTTTGTCTGGAAGTTTTCACTTTCCTGTGTAAGGCAGCTGTCCCGTCACCTTGTTGACCACTCTAATCATGCACTGAGAAGATACAGGTGTTTTCTCAAACCTGTCCCAGAGCCAGTTACAGCTTGAGTCCACTAACAGGGCTTAGGGAGGCTGGCCCTCGCACTGTTCTGCTTTGCTAGCCCGATTCATCCTGCAGGCATTAGATGTGATAGCTCTGGTGTGTTAATATAAACTTTGTAGACTCTTATATGCATCTCCACAACAAAAAATTGGTTGCTGATAGACATAGTGGTAAGTCTGCCTCAGTTTTCTAGACTAGAAACAAAAAGAATTCCTGTTTCTCTGTGTAACCAGGCGTATCAGATCACTCTTCCACAGCTCCTTGCTACTGCCTCCTCCTGGCCCCTGGCCACCACCATTCTATTTCAGTCTCTATGAATTTGACTACTCTGGTGCCTCATAAAAGTGGAATCATTTGTCTTTTTGTGACTGGCTTATTTCCCTTAGAATAAGTCCTTGAGGTCCATCCATGTGGTAGTATGTGCCAGAATGTTGTTCCTTTTTGAGCCTGAAAAATATTCCAATATATGTACACACAACAGCTTGCTTACCCATTTTTCTGTAACAGACCCTTGAGTTCTTGCCAGCTGGTAGCTGTTGTGAGTAGTGCTGTATATATGTGTGTACAAATGTGTCTTTGAGACCTGACTTTCAATTCTCTGGGTATCTGTGCAGGGCTAGAATTACCGAATCCTATATTAACTTTACCACGGTGGCTGTGCCCTTTTACAGTCCCAAGAATAGCACCTAAGGGCTCCAGTTTCTCTACATACCACTGACCATTTATTCTTTTCTCTTTTTTTTTTTTTTGATGGTAGCCTTCCCAGGGGCTGGCAGCCATGTTTGTTGGCCACTTATGTATCTTTGGAGAAATGTCTACTCAAGTCCTTTGTCCATTTTTGAATTTTTTTTTAATTGTTGAGTTTTAGAAGTTCTCTGTACATTTTGGATACTAATCCTTGTCTTTTGATTCGTAAAATTTTTTAATTATGAAGTCCAGTTGCTCTGTTGTTTTTGTTGCCAGTGATCTTGGTGCCATATCCAAGATCAGTGCCACATCCAGTGTTGTGAAGCTTTTGCCCTATGTTTTCTCTATGAGTTTTATAATTTAACTTCTACATGCAGGTCTCTGGTCTATTTTGAGTTAATTTTTGTATGGCATTAGGTAATGCTTCTAATCTCATTTCTCTGCATATGGACATCCAGTTTCTATGGCACCATTTTGAAAAGACTACCCTTTCTCCATTAACTGATGATTTTCTATCTTATTACTTCACTGAATCTATCAGTCTTAGCACGGTTTTTTGGAGGAATCATTAAGATTTTCTACATATAAGATCTTTCATCATCTATGAATAGAGACAGTTTTACTTCTTTCTAGTGTGGAGACCTTTTATTTTTTTCTCGTCTAATTGCTCTGGCTGGAACTTCTAATACTATATTGAAAAGAAGTGGGCAACATCGGCCTCCTTTTCTTGTTTCTGATCTTCAAAGAAATGCTTTCAGTCTTTCACTATTGAGCATAATGTTCACTGTAGGCTCTCCATATGTAGATTTTGATATGTTGAGGCAGTTTCCTTCTATTCCTAGTTTGTTGAGTAATTTTGTTATGTGAAAGGGTGTTGAATTTTGTCATATCAGTTGAAATGATCATGTGGGTTTTTTTTCCCCTTCATTCTGTTAATGTGGTATATTATATCGATTGGTTTTCATATGGTGAGCTATCGGTGAATTCCAGGAACAGTTCCCACTTGGCCATGGTGTATACTGTTTTTAATATGCTGTTGAAGGCAGCCCGGGTGGCTTAGCGGTTTAGCCGCCTTCAGCCCAGGGTGTGATCCTGGACACCCGGGATTGAGTCCTGCATCGGGCTCCCTGCATGGAGCCTGCTTCTGCCTCTCTCTCTCTCTCTTTCTCTCTCTCTCTTTCTCTCTCTCTCTCTCTCTCTCTCTGTGTGTCTCTCATGAATAAATAAATAAAATCTTTAAAAAATAATAATACGCTGTTGAATTAAGTTTGCGAGGCTCTTCTTGAGAATTTTTACATCGGTGTTCATAAGAAAGATTGATTTGTTGTTAGTTTTCTGTTCTTCATCTGGCTCTGGTATCAGGACAATGCTGATCTCACAGCATGAGTTTGAAAATGTTCCTTAATCTTCGATTTCATGGAGAGGTTTGAGAAGGATTGGGGTTAGTTTGCTAAATGTTTGGTAGGATTTATCAGTGACTCCATCTGGTCTAGGGCTTTTCTTTGTAAGAAGTTTTTATTGTTGTGTTTGTGTTTGTGTTTGTGTTTTATTGCTCCAGTCAATGAAAGGGAAACGTTAGTGAGGCCCCAGAGCCTCGGGGTCCTGGCAAGAGATGGCCCTGCAGGCAAAGGAAGAGCCGGTGGAGGGGCCTTATTTGACCTTCTTGGGGTGCAGGTTGTTGGTGTGGCACACTTCTTGCAGCAGGTGAAGCAGGGGTACAGGTGAGCAGAATGCTTGCAGCAGATCATCTTGTCACAGTTGTATTCTGGGCCAGCTTGGGGAGAGAAGGCTCCATGTTGCCACCCCATGGGTAAAGCTCCAAGTATAGGGTTACCTCTTTCTGGATATTGTAGTCTGAGAGAATGCAGCCACCCTCCAGCTGTTTGCCCATAAAAATCTGAGGCTGGTGGGGCAAGATGCCCTCCTTTGTCTTGGATTTTAGCTTTGACATACTTAGTGGTGTCACTGGGCTCAACCTTGAGAGAATGATAGTCTTGCCCGACCTGGTCTTCACAAAGATCTGCATCTCTGTGTCTGCCACAGGGCCACCACCACCTATGAGATTTTAAGATTTTTGATTACTGATTCAGTCTCCTTACTAGTTCCAGGTCTGTTCACATTTTCTGTTCATGACTCAGCATTGATAGGTTTGATGTTCTCTAGGAATATGTCCATTTCATCTGGGTTATCTAATTAGTTGCTGGACGTTTATTCATAGTGTTCTCTCACAATCTTTTTTGTTTATTTAGAGTTAGTAATGTCCCCACATTTGTTTCTGATTTTAGTAATTGAGTCTTCTTTCTTCTTAGGTGTCGATTTTGTTGCTCTTTTCCAAGAACCAACTTTTGGTTTCATTGATTTTTCTCAGTTGTTTTTCTGTTTCCTCTATTTCCGTCCTAATCCTTATTATTTCCTTCCTTCTGAGTTTAATTTATTCTTCTCTATCTAGTTCCTTAAGATGTAAAGTTAGGTGATTGCTATGGGCTCTTCCTTCTGTTTTAACCTAAGCATTTGCGCTACACATTTCCTTCCTTGGCCAGGTATACCGCGTCCTGTAAGTGTGGGTACATTGTGTTTTGTTTTCATTTGCTTCAAGCTGTCTTTTGATTTTCCTGGTGATTTCTTCAACTCGGCTGTTTACCAGGGTGTTGTTTGGTTTCCACAAATGCAGGAATTCTTCAGTCTTCTTTGTCTTACGGACTTCGCACTTCGTCCAGTTGTGGTCAGAGAAGACACTTTGTGTGGGATCTCTCTTTGTAAATCTGTTGAGACTATCTTTGTGACCTAACACACAGCCCGTTCTGGAGCATGGACTGTGTGTGCTTGAGAAGAACCTGTATCCTGTTGCTGGGTAGCATGTTCTGGATGTGTCTGTTAGATCTAGTTGGTTCATTGTAGCATGCAAGTCTTTGATTTCCTTGTCTTCTTTCTGGTTACTCTCTCCATTATTAAGAACTGAATCTTGAAGTCTCCAGCTCTTACTGTAAAACCGTCTCCCTTCAATTCTGTCAGCATTTTCTCCTTATATTCTGCTGGTGTGATACTATATGCTTAAATGTCTGTACTTGTATCTTCTTGGTGTATTGACCACTTATGAATATAGAAGGACTTTCTTGGTCTTCTGTAGTTTTTTGATTTAAAGTCTATTTTACCCAGCTACTCCTGTGCTCTCCATTATGGTTCACATGAGGTGTCTTTTTCCAGCCTTTCACTTTCAGCCTCATTGTATCTTCCCTAAAGTGAGTCTCTTATAGACAGCCTAGAGTGGGGCCATGTTTTCCTAACCCATCCTCCCTAGTTCTGTCTTTTGACTAAAGTCTCACCATCTTCATTGGAAGTAACTACTGAGGTGGAGAGACTTCTGTCACTTGAGCATATGTTTTCTATAGGCCATAGAGCTGTGTCTGTCCTTATTTTTCTGCATTACTGCCTTCTTTTAGGCTTTCTTTGTGTACTGAGCCATTTCCATTTCCTTCTGTGTATATTCTTTAGCTGTTTTTTTAGTGGTTGCTCTGGGGATTACATCTGACATCCTAAGTTTGTAACAGTCTGTAATTTGAGTTTATACCAATTTACAGAGCAAGTGAATGCCAGGGATTTCATTTATAAGATAGGAGAACATGTGCTGCCTCCCTCAAAGGATCTTTATGAGGCTCAAACATGAGAATCCACGAAAGCTCCTTGTGAGCTACTGAACACGCATGTGTCATTAACTCTATGAACATCTTTTTCTTATACTTGCACTTATTTTCTGGACTTTGCTAGCAGATACTTCAGTGGTTTTGGCTTCAAATAAGTACAACAGTGTTTAGCAACTCCTCTTTAACCAGCCTTTCACAGAAATCGAACTGTCTTGGCTTCTAGAACATTTTTTTCTTCTTTACAAATGCTGATTCAACAAGTATGGGTTAGGGAGCTGCTCTCTTCACTATACCACTAAGGCATGTGGGAAAAGCAAAATCTTGTCCTGCCGCAGGGTAGCATAAAATGCATCCGGGGACAGGACTGACACAGAGGAACCACCAGCAGAGCAGCCCAGGAGTGACCAGCTTGTAGCTGACCCAGGGACTGGGTCACAGGCCCGGTGGAGCAGGAAGAAAGGCAAAGGCCTCCTGGAGGAGGCAGGAGGTGTTTTCTTCTTATATTCTGCTGGTGTGATACTATATGCTTAAATGTCTGTACTTGTATCTTCTTGGTATATTGACCATTTATGAATAATGAAGGACTTTCTTGGTCTCCTATAATTTTTTGATTTAAAGTGTATTTTACCCAGCCACTCCTGTGCTCTCCATTATGGTTCACATGAGGTGTATTTTTCCAGCCTTTCACTTTCAGCCTCATTGTATCTTCCCTAAAGTGAGTCTCTTATAGACAGCCTAGAGTGGGGCCATGTTTTCCTAACTCATCCTCCCAAGTTCTGTCTTTTGACTAGAGTCTCACCATCTTCATTGGAAGTAAAAAATAAACTGTGGTGCTTGGCAGCATGGGGCTGAGCTGCAGAGGGAGAGGCAGGAGTAGACTGCAAGAGGGCATTTCGGGAATAGCTCGGGGAGGAACGGGAGAGGGGTGTTCAGAGGACTTGTTTTCTGATTAAGGAGCTACTGGAGGTATGTGGACGTGTTCTTACTGTTCTTCATTTTGCAGAGGGGAGTTTGAGGCTGAAAAAGGGTTTTGCCTGAAGTCACACAACTAGTTCATGGTGGAGTTGGTTCTAGAACTGCCGGATCTGGTATGCCTCAGGCTGACGCTTTGTCTGATGAATAGGGTTTCCCTTGAACCTGGTTTACCCTTAGAACATTAGAATCCCCATGTAAAATAATGGCACTCCCCTCAGAGGCACCTCTGTGGCTCAGTCGGTTGAGCATCCAGTTTTTGGTGTCAGCTCAGGTCATGGTCTCAGGGTCACAGGATCAAGTGCTGGGCCTGGCTCTCTCCTCAGCAGGGAGTCGGCTTGAGATTTTCACTCTCTCCCCCCTCTCTCTCTGCCCCTTCCCCACTCGTGCACATGCTCTCTCTCTCTCTCTCCAAATAAAAAAAATAAAAATTTTTAAATAAAATAAAAGGTTTAAGATTTTAAACAGTGAGGAAGGAAAAGCAAACTGAGCCATACTCCACTCAGTTAAAAAAGACCAAGGCAGCAGTACAGGTACTCACATGAGGAGATCGCTGCCCTGGACTGTGGAGCAGAACCAGTGAGCCTCAGATGCTTACTGCTGACTCCCTTTGTGGAAAAACACACAACACAGTGGTTTAGTTCTTTCTCTACATACACCTTTGAGTAATATGTCAGGGAGACTTAGTCTCTCCTGGGAACCCCATACAGTTGCTGTTCTGCTTCCCATTGTCGTTGAGGGGCCCCATTTCTCGTGCACCACACCAAGCCTCTCTTCCTGGGTGCCCCTGGAGGCCAGCCTCTCCTCCCCCCAGGCTGGCTTATATTTGTCTCGGCCTCATGGCCTATTCAGAGCAAGGCAGGCAAAGAGCTGTGGATAGGAAATACGTTGTGATCCCCTCAATCGTGTAAGTTGTGTGTTATGTGGGATTCTTATGGGTGTTCCACTTCTACAAACACTTGCTTCTTTTTCTTAATAGGATTAGGTAGATTGTCCACATGACATACTAACGTGGTAGCATTCAAGAAGTATTTGAAAACCTACCACGTTATGTACTTTTTTATGTATTTGGAGGGTCCTGGGGGCTTATGCTGAAAACAGATGAGATCTCGGATAGGAAAGCCCCTTTCGGGGATCCCTGGGTGGCTCAGCGGTTTAGCGCCTGCCTTTGGCCCAAGGGCGCGATCCTGGAGTCCCGGGATCGAGTACCGCATCGGGCTCCCGGCATGGAGCCTGCCTCTCCCACCTCCTGTGTCTCTGCCTCTCTCTCTCTCTCTCTCTCTCTCTCTCTCCCCTCTCTGTCTATCATAAATAAATAAATAAATAAATGTTTAAAAAAAAAAAAAAAGGAAAGCCCCTTTCCTTGTGAAGCACCGTGCCTGTCCAAGGTGATGTGATTCTGGGACATGGTGTTGGCCTCAAGGAGGGCTCATCATGCTGGAAGGAGCACACGGGGGCACTGCTAACTACAGCATGAAGCAGCGTAAGCTGAGGTGCAGTGAGGTGCCCACCCATGCCACAGGAGGCAAGAGAAAGGAATGCGTGTGTCGAGATGAGCACACTGCGGCAGGCTTTAGGCTGCTGAAACGGGGGTGGAGAGAAGTGTGCCACGCGGAAGGAGCAGCTTCAGCAAAGATGTGAAGGTCAGAAGGCTTGACCTGGTAGCCTTGCTCAGCTTTACCTGATGCCTGTGGAGCATGGGCCTGCACCCTGCTCCCTACCAGCTTCATGGAGCCACTGGCCACAGTTGCCCCTCGAAGATGTGCCTCTGCCCGTCACATACCTCCTTCCCGGGAGCTCTTGTGGCTCACCCATTTATAGTAACACTTTTCATTCTGTTTATGAGAACCTGGTGCCACTCGTCTCCTCTAGACTCTGACCTCCTCCCGCCGCTATGGCCCTGGCCCTGGCAGGTGTAGTAGGCCCTCAGAAAATGCTCATATAATGAATTTCTCAACTAAGGGATGTGCTGTTTTCTTACTGTCACCTGGGCTTGTTTTTGTTGTCTACTTTCTGATTGCTTTCCTCTTGCTAATGCGTTTGTGTCTTCTCTTTGCAGATGAAGCTACTAAACTTATATATAAAGAGGGCCCAAACCACGAACAGCAACAGTAGCTCCTCCTCTGATGTGTCCACACACAGCTAATGGCGCGCCAGAGTCTCTTCGTGTAGCCCTAGAAGCAATCGGTGGTGCCTCTCAGAGACCTTCCCCCACCTTCCCCCTCATCGGCTGCCCAGTCAGTACAAGGAGGCCCGCAAATATTTATTACAATCAGTATTTTGGTCCCTTCCAGCTTTTGTGTAGAATCTTACTGGTATTGAATGTAAAGGAAGCAAGGCCTGTATTGCAGTCTTCATACAAAACGAATGGAAAAAGAAAAGAGCCATACTTAAACACGTCTTGTACAGCCTGCTGAGACCATAAAACCATGTGTGTGGGGTGCAGTTTTAAAAAATCAGAGCTCTCTAGCCAATACTTGGTAGAAAGTAGCATTTTCTCTTAGTTAATCACATTTGAGGACGGTCTGTTAATTTGTGCTTCTCTCTCGTCTTCGCTTACTTCCTCCTGGATTTGGCTTATGATGCCAGGAAAGGATCATCCGTCTTTCAGTTGTATCGTGAGACCTACTAAGAACAGGAGTCAAGTCTTGGCAAGAAGAGAAAAGCCTGGAGATGGTTTTGTAACAGCTGCATGGGATTTTGCTTGTACACTATGTAGACTGGAGGCCCAGGGCCCCCTCTGCAGGCTCCTTCCAGGACGGGCTCCCCACCCCTCCAAACGCTCCGCTCATGCTGGCCCCACCTGCAGCTTCCAGTTGAAAGAATTCTTTCATTTAAACCCAAACACAAAAATCAAGGTAAATCTGTAGCGTCCACTCATGGGTGCCTAACATGGCCCTTAATGAAGCATGGAAGGTACGAGAGGAAGTGTGTGTGTGTGTGTGTGTGTGTGTTCACGTGCGCGTGTTGCACTAGTCAGATCTTGGGCAGACACTATGCAGACAGGGCCTCTGCCACCCCCCAGCGCTTGGTGGTTTGGATTTCCAGATTTAGCACCGTCTGTCTTCCTCCCACCCCCAGCCTCTGCCTAAGCTGCTCCATTCTGGAACGTTCTTAGTCTGGTCAGTGGCAGCTCTGCCATCCTGGTCTTGACTTCTTGGTTTCATTTGGGATTAAGATCGAAGAAAAGTCCAGAGAGACCAGGTATCAGAGTTTTTTTTTTTTTTTTTTTAATTGTATAGACAGAAGTACTTCCTGGCTCATCGGTTGAAATAGTCTTTGTTTAAGATAAAAGTAATTTGGCGGCCGGCAAATTACAGAGAAGCAGGACCTGGAACCCAGTTTTAAAATCTGTTTCCTTTTCTCCAATGAGAAAGTACCAGAGAAACTACCCTTCTCAAAAATTTTTCTCAAGGGTTTGATTGTTCAGTAAAAGGAACTATAGATTTGGAATCTGGTTAAATACATTTTGAACAAAATTCTTAAGGCCAAATGGAAATCCTTGATGCCATCACAAAGCCTTCTATCCTCTCTCTCCCTGGAACTGGTTTTTCCCTCAGGAAAATGCCTCTCCTGGTGGTATTTTTTAAGGAGGTCTTTGCTGTCCTGATGCAGAATTCTCTGCAGCCCGCAGCACAGTGGCAGAGACTGGGACGGCGTCCGCTGACCTCCGCGGAGCCCTCTGCCCCCAGCCTCCAGCATGTATTGGAAGTTGTAACACTAGCGCGCATCGCTCAGTTTCCTTTGGAATTTAGTTTCAATACTTTATTTGGAACTAGGCACTGAAATTGAAGGTTCAGGAACAGTGAAGCTAGGGTGCCTTCACTGAGAGAGAGAGTGAGTGTGTGTGTGTGTGTGTGTGTGTATCGGGGTATCTTGCACATGGAGGGAAGTACCCCACTGCTGCTGTCAAAGGAACTTCAGGGGTGCATTTTAAGTGGTTGAATATTATTGACTTATTTTTGGCTCAGAACATAGCAGGACCAGGCCTTACTTTCATTGATAAATACCGTTTGTTAATATTTCACTAATGAGATTTCATTTTTACACTCGACAAGTGAGTCAGGGCACCTTTTGATTCCTCCTCTGTTGTAGAAACGTGCACTCTGGCTAGGTTATTTATGAGTTCTTTTACAAAACCTGACCCGTTTGGAAAGACCTTTCTCCTTGACCTCTCGGACTCCGTGGCCTCACGGTCCCCCACTGCCTGCAGTTGGGAAGAATCTTGAACATTGCTGAATGTCCTCATAGTACTCACAAAGGGCTAGCCTTGAATGTCACTCCCCCAACCTTCAATCTCCCGACCTAGAGAGAGATACAATCACTGACAGGTCTCTTGGCCTCAATCAAAACCGCTGCCCTCACCGGGGAGACTCGCATGCCACCACCACCTCACGGGGAGGGAGCCGCACCCACCGCCGCTGCCACCCTCCGAATCCGAATCTGGACAGCAGCCGCTGCCTCGCCTTGCCGCCGCCTCCCTGCAGGCCTCCCATTGAGCCGAAACACCACAAAAGAGCAAAACCCCAAAACTGCAAAACTTTGTTTGCCTCCCTCTTCACCCGCCCATCCAGGACCCCCAAGGGACCCACGCGGCCCTCCCGCTGGGGCCCCTGTGCCTGGCTCCTGCTTCTCTGGCTGTGGCACAGGCCTGCGGGCTAAGGCCCAGGGTGGGCGCGCAGCTCCTTGGAGTATACAGGCTGCGTGCGCCTTACTGGGCAGCCCGGGACTGCCTCCCTGTGGCTCCCACTGGCTTACCCTCCCCTGTGCAGGTGATGCAGCTGATTCTGGTCTCATCAGTCCTTTTCTTTCCCTGCCGCCCTTTATTTATCAAGCATAATACTACACGTTAACAGCAAATAAGAACTTTGTAGAATCCCACCAGGACTTTGCTAACAATGATGTTTGGAAATGAGAAAAAAACGCTCTGAAAACTATCAGCCACCAAAATAGTTTTGTCAGCACTGTGTTCACACGCATGGTCCCCATACCCCCAGGTTGGGTTTTTGGGTTTTGTTTTTGTTTTTTGGGGGCTTTTCATGTTACATCCATATCTGTATTTATATCTTTTTTGTTTCACTTTCAAGTGTATCATGGCAAATGTACAGATTTTTTTTTTGTTAATAATGTGCTAGGATTTGCTAAAAAAGAAAACAACAACAAAAAAAAAAACCCTTTTGAGTTTGCCCTAGAATAAATGAAACTTAATTCAGTTTCTTGCGTTGGAGCAGTCTATTTCCTCCCTGTAGATGGCTTATCCCGTCTCCCTGAGGCTCCATCACGGGAGCTTTCTCCTCGGTGCCAACAAGTCAGTCTCTGGGAAGAACGTCCCACCTGCCCTGGTGTGTTCGGGAGCTGCCACCTTGTGGAGTGGAAGGATTGAGCAGAAAGACCCCAGGTGGGCTTGGCTGAGACAAGCAATGCCAGCTTCCGGGACCTCAGACATCGGCTCGGGTGGGGGCAGGTCTGGGCCTCGGGGAAGGGCTGAGAAGGAGGGGGCCCATGGGCTTGGGAGGAACGCGTGCAGGGCACCCAAGGGCACCAATCCACTTATTTGAAGCTTTCTACTAAAAAAAAAGATGGGGAGTTTCCCATTGTGTCCCATGACGCCCCTCAAGTACCACCACCCATGACTGAGCCACCCACCCACCCACACAGGCCAGTCCCTGCACCGCCCACCCCAGTGGTTCCACTTTTTTTTAATTTATTTATTCATGAGAGACACAGAAAGAGAGGCAGAGACACCAGCAGAGGGAGAAGCAGGCTCCATGCAGGGAGCCCGACATGGGACCCGATCCGGGCAGGTGCTAAACCGCTGAGCCACCCGGGTTGCCCCCCAGTGGTTCCATTTTTAAGGCGGAACAGAACTGCCTCCGGGTGGGACCGTGCGGCTTCGTGGCGATGAGGTCAGGGGAGCTGCCGGTACAGCGTGGGGGCCAGCGTGGGGGCCGCAGCCCCTGGCCCGCCCCCTGCGGTGCAGAGGGAGATGGGGCGGGCGAGGCCACCCCGCCAGCTGCCTGCACGCGCCACCGTTCGTTGGCGAATGTGGAAAACCCCCAGGGGGACAGACGGTCCGGCGAGGCAGGGGGCAGCTCTCCGTGTCCGGGTCTCTGACCCCGGCGCCACTGCCCGGCCTTTTGCTGGCTGCCATCCGTGGGAGGCTACGGGCCATGGCTGGGGGCGGCGGGTTCCCAGGCCCACTGGGGTCCACGCTCGTGGCTCCCGGGGGCCTGAAGGCTCTTCTCTCCCGCAAGCACGCACCTTTGCACTCACTGAGTTTTGTACTCAATCGTGGAAGGTTCCAGGATTCCCTGAACCCATCCAAGGCTCCCGAGATGGAAACCTGATTTGAATACCGTGTGTGCCCTTGACCTTCTCCGGTCACTAGCGAGGGTGTGGGGCGTGGAGCAGACACGCAGCATGAACACTACTAGTCTGGCGTTTCAACTTGGGAGAATTCTCCCACGTAGCATCGTCCTGGTTTTTCCACCAGTTCCATGATGCAGATAAGGGACGTGCTGTCATGCTCAATGACCAGGACAGGGGGACTGAGTCATGAGGAAGAGCCTCAACGAGATGGTGACAAATGTCAGGGCAAGACTCCGGGCCCTGCCCTTATCTAGCAGGTGTCTTCCCAGCCTCCCTTGCCTCCCACCCTTACCACAGTTTTCCTGGAGTCCCCCGGGGGGCTTGTGAGGAGCCTGCTGGGCGCCACCCCAGAGAAGCGGGTTCTGGGAGGGTTACGGGGCGGGGCAGGAGGAGGCCGAGACGTGCGTCTCTAACAAGCTCCCAGGTGATGCCGATGCTGCTGGTCCCGGATCGCGGCAAACAGCGCGGGGCTTCGGCGTGCTGGCCGGGCCGTCGCCAGCCTTACAGGTAATGAGGTGACTGTCCAGCTTAGCCTCTTGACTAGGACTTTGGGAGGGGCGAGGGGTGCTGTTAGCGCGGGGGAGCCAGGAGTGTCCGGGGCAAACAACATAACCCCCCCCCACCAGACCAAAGCTCCCCCAGCTCAGGGGACAGCTGTCCCCGCAGAGCCTTCGCCCGCACCCCCTGGCCTCTCGGCTCCCTCCAGTATTTATTAACTCCTACTTCAGTGGCTCCAGGCAAGAACGGACAAAGGTCATGTGAACGGGCATCTAGTCCCAGATTATGTATTTAAAAAACATTTAAATGCTTCCACACCAGTGCCCTCCTCAGGCGGGGGCCTGCTGCCAGTGCAGGGGCCCGGGGGTGGACTGGGGCGCTGGGCCCCTCTGCAGGCACGATCCCAGCAGCTGGGGGACCCCTGCCAATGTCCCCGGCCTGCTGGCCGCCCTGGCCACTTTTGCCTTCAAGGGCTTGGGGGCACCAGGTGTCCCAGCTCCAGCACCCATCAGCGCCCCCCCTCTGGCCTCCTGCCTCCCCGTCTGCGGCCTGTAGAGTCCACACTGTGCCTACACTCCCCCCCCCCGGGCGCTGCTCCCCGGGCCTGGGAGGGGGAATGGGCCCACCTGGGAGCAGGAGGTCTGGAAGTCTGGATCTTGAACCCAACTCGGGTGTTTCAGGGTCTGGAACTTGACCCAAATGACTCCAGCCTAGGATGGCCTCAATTTCTTAATCTGTAAAAGGAGCAGAGGAGTGAATGGTTGGGAGGGGTGGGGGCCCCGCTGCCCCTGAGCCCCCGCAGCATCTCAGGCGACCTCTCCCCGGGGTACTCCTCCACCTGCCGTGTCCTGAGGGCGGGTGGAGGAGTACGGTCGGGCTTTCCAGCTGGTCTCCCAAACCTGCTGCTCTCCGTTTCGGGGGCTTCCGCCTACACGGACGCTGACGCCAGGCCCTTCCCTCATCCTGCCCCAGCTCCCAAGTCCAGCGAGCCCCATGTCCACAGTGGGTCTTGAAGCTCCCACCTCCTTCCCCTCCCGGGGACCACCACCTCTTCTCCCCCCGCACAGCCACAGAGGGTCTGCTCCATCCTCTCCTTCCCTCCCCTCCTGCCTTCTGTCCTCCCTCCTAAAGCTACACCGCTTGCTATTTTTTTCCTTTTTATTTTTTAAAGATTTTATTTATTTATGAGAGACACAGAGAGAGAGGCAGGCTCCATGCAGGAGCCTGACGTGGGACTCGATCCCGGACCCCGGGATCACACCCTGGGCCAAAGACAGATGCTCAACCGGTAAGCCACCCAGAGGCCCCCTCACTTGGTATTTTTAAGAATGTTCATTTGATGTGTTATCATTTTGCTTTCAGACCTTGCAGTAGCTACACGCTCGCACACACACACACACACACACACACACACGGATAACATTTGAAAATCCTGAATATGGCCTATAAGGCCCACCACCCCTGCATGCACACACACACACACACAAGCAACATACACTTATACACACACTTCCCTTGGGTAACTTTAACAGGTACCTTATGTCTCAGCTTAAATGCCAGGTCATTACTTCTTTGGAGAAGAATCTAAGTCCCTTTACTTCTCTTACCTGATGTTTATATCTGTTAGTATGATTATTTGTCTGCTTCACCCATACCTGTGGGAAGGAACTGGGCCTGTCTCAATTACATCTGTATTCCAAATACAGCCCATGTGCTGGTTCGTGATGAGGAATGATGATGAATGAATGAATGAATGAATGAATGACTAGTTTGCAGTTCCTTGAGTAGCATGTGATTGCAAGGGTGTGCCCAATGACCTAGAGCTCTTTCTAGGACTTCACAGGCCCTTCCATGACACATAAGAACACAGCTGCTGCTGCTACACTGCCTGGGTCCCAGTCCCAGCTCTGCATCCCTGGGGTCAAGGGCATAAACTCTTCTTCTCTGCTGCTTCTCTGAATGGGCAGAGTGCCAGTGGTGTCTACCTCGTGGTATATCTGCAAGTCACTTAAAAATTAAAAGTGCCCTGGCCCCAGCCCAGCAGGTTGTATTGGCCACTACTTTTTGTCCGGTGGTCAATGAAACCAGTTAAGTGAAGGAGTGAGCTTGGCCTTAGGGGTCAGTTCTGGGTCCTGATGCTGGTTTCCTTCATATTTCATCTTTGCAAACTCTGGCGAGTCTTTCAACTTCTACTAGCCAGAAAATGAGGAGAAGCAGTCTGACCATTCTGGAAAAGTTTGGCATTTTCTTGTAAAGTTGAACATTCATGTACCTTCCACCCATCCACCCCGCTCCTGAGGCATGCCCTAGAAAAACCTAGACATGATAGTTGTAGAGACGAATGTGAGTGTTGGAGGCAGCCTGATTCCTAATAGCAAGACAAGACACAGCTCATGATCCCGAGATCATGACTTGAGCCGAAACTGAGTTGGACACTTAACCAATTGCACCACCCAAACACCCCAATTTTGTGCTCAAAATGGAAACTTTTAAAATTCACCATGTCATATTTTTTAAGGGTATGGTTGAGGGGATCCCTGGGTGGTTCAGCAGTTAAGCGCCTGCCTTCGGTCCAGGGCATGATCCTGGGGTCCTGAGATCAAGTTCCACATCAGATCAAGTTCCTTGCATGGAGCCTGCTTCTCCCTCTGCCTGTGTCTCTCCCTCTCTCACTATGTCTCTTATGAATAAATAAATAAAATCTTTAAAAAAATAAAGGATATGGTTGAATTAAAAAAAAACCTTTAGAACTGAAAAATACAACTAACTATAATTAAGAACTCAGGAGGTAAATTTAATGGCTGATTAGACATAGCTGAAAAGATGATCAGGGACCTGGAAGGCAGTCCAGAAGACAATATTTGGAATGAAACACAGAGACACAAAAGGTTGAAAAATACAAAAGCAATGGTAAGAAGCATAGAAACCATAAGAAGAGCGATGCCTGGGTGGTTCAGCAGTTGAGCATCTGCCTTCAGTTCAGGGCATGATCCCAGAGTCCCAGGATTGAGTCCTGTGTCGGGCTCCCTGCAGGAAGCCTGCTTTGCTTCTCCCTCTGCCTGTGTCTCTGCCTCTCTCTGTGTCTCTCATGAATAAATAAGTAAAATCTTAAAAAAAAAGAAAGCCGTAAAAAGATACAAAATCTATGCAGTGGAAATTCCAGAGTGGAGGAAAAGAGAATGCATTAGAGGTGATATGTTAAAAGATATTGGCCAAGGACTTTTCAAAATGACTAGAAGATAATGGCCAAGGACTTTTCAAAATGGGGCACCTGGCTGGCTCAGTCAGTGGAGTATGTGACCCTTGATCTCAGGGTTGTAGCTTCAAGACCCGCATTGGGTATAG